TATCTCACCTGGGGGGTTTAACCCCCTCGCTTCCCCGTAGTCCGGTCCTATGCCCGGGCCCACTCCGGCTGGTCCAACAGGGTTCGCTCCCGATCTGCTGGCCCAGCCGCCTTCCAGCAGCTGACGTGGTCTTTGCCCACCACCTCTCGCTTGCTGCTGGAGAAGTCCCCCGCCTCCGCCGTGCGGCTTCAGGGGCTCTTGCTGGCCTTCGGTGGCGACAACCCAGCCGCCACTACTGGCTGCATCCGCCACGACGTTGCCAGGCTCCTTCTCCTTTATCGACTTCTCCACCAGGGCCGCCAATCGTCGACCTGCAGTTGCAAACTTGCAAGCTCCGCATCGCTGCCCTCCTGCACCGGCGGGCGGATCTGTTCTCCGCTCGCAGCAGTGCGCTCTTCGTCTCCAGCAAAGCTCATCCCAATGTGGCTTCCCTTGAGGGGCAAAAAACTCTAGAGGGTTTGCGGCCTACGTGACTTATTTATCGGGTAAGACTGTTTTGGTGATGTATTTATTTCACGAGATGTAGACAATCGTCCTTCACATGGAAGAATGAGGGAGTGCTCGAAGAGCGGCTCCCACAGCAAAGAGGGCCTCCGTGAATCATCGGAGGTGCCCCCTACCAAACGGCAATCATACCAGTCTGCGTGACACCAAATCATTCAGCGCATGTATCCAACACCAATGTTCGCAGACCCACGAACAAGCAAAACAACCAACCTATGTATGTATATATGTAGTTTCACTGCAGAAGCAAGTGCCATATACGTGCGCGTGCTCATGCGCCCTGCTTCTGCGCTTTCGGTGTACGAGAGACAAGAAAGTGCCGGAAGAGCCCTGCACCAGCTTGCGACAGGGCACGAGGCCAAACAAACTGTTTCCAGTCAGCTGTTGATCGTAGCTATGGACCTAAACTCTCCTACGTACCTTCTCCTTGTTTCGCCGTTGCATCTTGTGCGGCTCCAGGCGCGCTATGATGCTCTCTGAGAAATTGGTCCATGTGCCCTCACCGAAATCCTGCCCCTGTTCGTCTTCAATGAAGGGGAACTTCGTGTCCAATAGCTCCTCCTTCAGCTGCGACATATCGGCTGCACATCACAACGTCCACCGACAAGAGAAAAAAGGGCGATCCATTATTGCACGTACACTGATGGGCTGAGAGGCCTGCCCTGCATGCTTGAAAATCGAGATGCTGAAATGCGATCAGCTACAATATTATGGTGTAGAAATACTGCACCCCTGTACAGACGACGTGTGATTACATGCAGTGTATTGGGCGTTGAATATATTAGACTACACGCTATCGCACCTTCGGATCTCCTCAGTTGGCTGGCCTGTGGAGCTACTTCAGGAGCTGGTGAGGCGGTGCTTGGAGCTGGATGGATGGGCGGTGCCATCACCAAGTCCCACTTCGTTGCTGTCAGCGGTGGTGTCATCGCCAACGTTAATCACCGACACATCCTCTCGCCCCTGACCATGCATGATCCCTCTCGCCATTCGTCGCTGACTAGACTATCTGCTCAGAGCCGTCCCGCGGGATGTGAAATCCAACGCACTACTGCTGCCCAGACTATCTCTCGCGGAAGCAATGGGCGAGAAAGCAGACCTCTGCAAAGCTCCAGTATGTGAAGTATCCATGCTGCGGCCGGTGGTCTTCACCAGCGCGGTGACCCGTTGGGGGAACTAGCCTCGGGTCTGCCTTGCACGCGAGCATGCAGTTGTCTGCTGCGCGGCTGCGCGGGCGGGGGACTTTCAAATTTGTGGGTCTGTAAAGAGAGGTTCCGGAGGCTTTTTGAGGGCAGGCGGGTCGGCTCCTGCCCAACCGCAGATTTCCTGGCGCCGCAAAATTCTTTCGCGTCGCTTTTTTTGATGCTTTGACGGTTCCTCAAAAAAAAATCGACGTCAGAGTTTGCCCCCCCAAAAGCGGCGTAACGTCGTCAAGTCAAAACTTGCTGAAATGTCAACATTTCACGTCAATTCAACAACACGTGGATTCCCTCTAATGTATGGACAGTGTCGTCACAGTCATTTTCAAGCTCGGTCAGTGGATGATTCGGACAGCCCAGAGTGCCTTGACCAGTATCACAGGTTGTTCAAGATAGTCTCAAGCCTGCCTGCCCTGTCTACAAAAGGAGTTCTTGGAGTACACCAAGTACGTACGGAGCTCGAGTCGCGGCAAAGCAAAGGGGTGCAGAAGTTGAATCACAGTTTGTTTCCAGACGTGAGTCCAAGGGAGGCGTTGAGTCATCAACAGAACAAATGAATGTACACCGGAAATGCCTCTGCTGATGATTCAGGGCCCTTGAGGTGTGGCGTGGACGTGTGACGGGTTTGATTTTCGATTCTTCATTACAAGTCTAGCGCCGAGCTCCTTGATTTGTGTTTGGAGAGTGAGGGACACACACAGAGACCAGCCAGACGGCCAGTCAGCGGACGACAGAGGCCACGGGAGAGCGGTGTAACGAAATGACGAGTAGGGCAGGAGAGGAAGCGGGGCGGTTGTTGGCATCGGCAGTCGGGGAGATACGCGGACCAACTCGCCGTAGATTCAAAAATCAACACATCTCAAGATTGCAAGAGTGCCTCTTTACGTCGGGTACCATCTCGCCGGGATATGCCGAATCCATTTGAGAACAATATTTGCAAGGTTCGGATGTTTGCATGCCAGGAAAATGGTGCAGGATTCAAGGAACTGGGCGGCATGGTAGGCTACCCCTGCTGACCCTGCTGTCAGCCGCCACGGCAAAATAGTGGGCCCGACCGCGCGCGGTTGGATCCTCGGCATAAAACGGAGAGACGGGTTGTTGAAGAGCCGAGAGCCAATGAGCTTCTGACCGCACCAAATTCGCCCCCGAAAGTTCCGTTTCCAGTGCCCCCCTTCGCGGCCGGTCACCATCCCTCCAACCGCCACACGCCCACCCACACCCCTCTTCCTCCTCTCACATCTTCCTCTCTCTCCGATCTTTCCAAACCGAATCAACACAAGACAAGATGGTCAAGTTCACTGCCGGATTCGCTCTCGCCTCGGTGCTCTCCTTGGCCCACGCCACTGACTTCAAGGCGAGTGAGCTGCGTGTCAGCCGTTGCCATCAAGAACAAGCGAGATTGTGTGTCGTGCTTGTACATGTCTCTCCTTTGAAGTAGAGGGACTGCAAGTTTTCATGTGCCAGCTGACGCAGGATCAACGGTGTGCCGTGTGCCGTCGTTGTCGACATGCACGGTACTAGTGTCTCGAGTCACAGCACCGCGTTCATTTGAGCTATGAAGACCACGGGCGCTACTGCTGCTGCTGTGCTGTGTCATGAAACATGCTCGTGTGTGTTCTGTTCTCGTTCGGCGCCCTAGGAAACTTTTTTCAAGTACATAGTCTAGTCCACAACTCCCCGTTCTCCCGTGTTCCCCGTGGTATCGTTTGTCTACTGCACTTTCATATTTGATCACAGGTGCGCGTGAGGAACCTGACCTACCTGCAGCCCTTCTCGCCCATGCTCGTCGTGGCGCACACCAACGTGAGTTAGACTACGTTGCTTGTTCATCTTTAGCTAGGTGTGTTGTGTGTGTGTGTGTGTTTTCGTTCTACTCTACTTATTATGGCGACAGTCCCCTCATTTTTCGTGGTGAGACGTGCACTACACTCTTCAGCGTAGTCTAGTTGGGGTACTACAGTTTTCAGTGTATAGTTTCGTACAACTACAACCATCCAGGGTCACACAGGATGAGGTAAACAGGGTTTTTTTCTTCTTTTTATTTATTTTCATGCCCCACCTTCCTTCCGCGGTCCCTTTCCTCGTCAACGGTGCTAACGTCGAAGTTTGGTACTCAGGAGAGCTTTTTAGCTATATTTCGCTTTCACCCGCATATTTCGTAAATTTTTCAGCCCATGGGGATTCGAACTTACGACCTCTGCGACTAGCGGATTACGAGGATACCACTCGATCACCGGGGTGTGCTGCACCGTAGACCGCAGCATCAGTTTGCGAGGAGACTATTTCGTCTCTCCTTGCAGTAACTTGCGAGGCAGGTATCTTGCTGGTAAATACGTAGGTACAGAACGTGTGCAGCAGGGTCTAGTCAGTCGGTCAGCCCCATTTGTGACGTACGTCGTATACATCTATCACTGCCAGGCGCAGAGAAGAAGTGGCCTGCACATGGAGATGCAGACATCTGCCTCCTGGCCACAACAACTGTAGATATGTACTGTACCTATCTATGTTGCTCACAGTCCATACTTGCTCGGTATTTCGCCAGCACAGAGCCTTTTGCTTGTCGCTCCACGTAGATCACAGGTTGTCGGCGGGTTCCTTCAACAGTATATCTTGAAGACACGATAAGTGAGCAGCACAAACGGCGGACTTGTTAGTGAGTACACATAGGAACGATTGCCGAATACCTACTCCTAGCATCGCGGGAGGAAAGTTTTGTTTGGTTTCGTTCGTCCGGTGTGATATCCCCGGGACAGCTTCAAAGCAAAGAGGTGGTCTGGTGTTCGGACACTGTGAGCCGTTGTTTAAGAGTAGACTAGATGGGATACCCGCAACCAACAACGACTGCGTCAGAACGCATCCGCACCACGGCGGTATTGCTTCAAAATATACGCGCGCTTTTTCTTTAGTAAGAGGTGGCGAGGTTTCGAACCGTTGTTTCCGCGCGGATGAACAACCGGGAGATGCCTTTCGAATGTATGCGCACTTCTGGGGGAATTCCTTCATCGCCCTTTAAGACCCCAGCGCACCCCTTTCGGAACCTGTAGAGACGATGATGTATTCAAAGAGTGGGAAAGGCAAGTACTGGACTTGAGTTCTATTTTTCTTTTGAAGGACATTGCGTACTAAGGACTTATCAACGTTTCAACGAGAAACAACAATCCGCTCTACGTGCGTGCAAGATGCTGTTGTTGCGGACATGGGATAAACAACAACCCCCGCCCCGCCCCTCTCGTTCACGCTCAAGGCCAGAGACGGTTTGCCGATAGATCATATTTCCAATGTTTCGTTCAAAATCATCTGTCCACAGTAGCCGAAAAATGCTGCGATGCTAACGGCAAAGGCGGGGCGACATGCTCTATCCCTGACCCAAATCCCTGCGTATGTTTTTATCATGCTTCTTGTTTTCATCTTTTTTCTTGTCTATTTCTGCAGGACGTGGCCCTGTTCAAGGAAGGCTTCCCGGCCAGCGATGCCATCAAGCTTATGGCGGAGGACGGCGACAACTCGGCTCTCCTTGTGAGTTCTAGTGCCGCTCTTGACGACACATGCCGTATTTCCGCGTTGCGAAATGTTGGTCGACCAATTCATCGAAACATTTGCACGGGTGGTCCCGAAACCATTCAAGCGAGAGAGCGCGCGGGCAATACCAGCCCCTCTTGACTTGATGCTGACATCGGGTCAGGTCACGCGGTCATCACGGGGTTCCACTCAATAGACGAGTGTTCGCCCTATCCCACGCTTCTACACCCCTACTCGAAAATATCGTGGTTCCGATGCCGTTGTGTTTAGGTCAGTGCCATGGTCAGGAGCTGAGCATTCTCTCGTCGACGATGTACTTCGAAGCACTAGTTTTCTTGCGCTGACGATTTTCTACATAATCATGATGTGATATCTCGGTGTTTTGTCTGATCCATGGATCAGGAGCTTGCGGCGTCGGACGACGTCGCTCCGTACATCTGCGGTGCCGTCGCGGGAGAAGGCCCTGTCTTGCCCGGAGAGACGTGGAGGGGAACAATGACCATCGACGAGAGCGTCTGCCCCGACCCGGTCTACAGCGTCGTCAGCATGCTCAGTGAGTCGCTTGCACACAAGCAAGGGTGCTCGTGTTGTGTACTCATGGGCAGACAACGTCATCCCGGCATGATGTATTGGAAACAGGGCGTGTTCGGACAACTTGAGGGGTTCTACATGTCGCTGATGCTCCACACCGTGTGACTTCAGGCCATGAAACGAAGTCGAATATTGTGTCCCAACCATGTAACCCGTCTCTACTCGCTTGTCGACTCGGTGGGTTTGTTGCAGTCAACACCAACGACGCCTTCGTGGGCATCGACTCTGACGACCTCAACTTGTACGGCAGTTCCAAGGTGTTCCCGCCCGCCTTCGATGCCGGTGAGGATGACGAGTTTTGTTTTTTGTGTGTCATACGTTATGCTGTTTTCGACATCCGAGGTGAATTTTGTCGTCCCGGCCCTTGGCGGTGATCGTTGACTCGTTCCGTGTGCCCGACCATGCCGGGGGTTCCCATGAGCCAAGCCTTCTGGGGTTTCCCACCCGAGTGAAGCGGTTTTGCCGCTGTGGTGTGATGTTAACCTCACCGTAGTTCGCTGATCTGACGATCAAGTTGTTTCTTTGTTTCTCTCGCTCACGCCAGGGCACACTACTGCAAAAGCGTCATTTTGAGTTTGCAGCCGTCACGGTGATGAGCCTTTGCCCATCCTTTCCTTGGCCGAACTCGAACGAATCGAGACGCAGTTGACCATAAGAATCCATGCCTGCACCTTGGGTTGCTTCGGGGGTGTGCCTGACGCTGCGGGAATAGGGTATGGGGATACATGGCATTAGCAGGCGCGCCTTGAAGGTTGGCTTGTGGCACTCTACGACGGCAAGAAATGCGGAGCCTGCTACGCGACATACTGAGCACAGAACCTTTACCCATCCCTGTACCTTTTTTTGGACGTTCGCCGAAACACCAACTCCCAACCTTCTTTGCTTCGCGATGGCTCGGATCCACCGACGACACAGGCACCGAGGCCAACAACGAGCTGTGCACCCACATCCCTGGCCCTGCGTGCCCGGTCGACAGCGGCAACATCGAGGACGGGCCCGGCGAAGGGTTCATCCATGTGCACCGCGGCTTCCACGGGGTGGGCCCGGACCTGGGCGAGGCGAACTACGACTGGCGCAACCCGGTCGCCGAGGTCTTCATCGCCCGCCAGTAGACGATACTCGTTGCAGAGTGATGCAGGCTGAACGTCTGGCGGCGTGGGCGTGGCCCTAGAGTTTCATGTTTTTTGGTGTTCCCAAGTGTTGTGGCAAAGGACGTTGCGTGTCGACGTGTAGGTTCTACTCGTTAATGTCGATGACGTCGCGGCGCCGGAGTCAACCGTACTTGACGGTTTCTCGTTGGGCGATAGTGTTTCGTTTTTCCCGTAGTCAGCGTGTTTTGTTGGAGCGGTGAATGGGGAGTGCATGAAAGTATCTCACTCATGTTGGGAATATCTTCTGTACGATTGATTGTAAGGGTGTGGCAGCCAAAGGCCCAACCCAAGATATTGAGGTGCGTTCTTCTTCTATGACTCTCCTTGGAGACAAAAAATCGTCCGTACTTTCATCCGGTGGTGTGTTGTTACCGTTGGTATCGCCTGGGCTGGCCCAACCAACCACCGATTGAGTAGAATGATGCTTTTCGGCGAATTTGAGCACTTAAGTGTACCTCATGTTCCAAGGTGACCAGAGGGGAGGCTCCAACAATCTGTGTGGAGTTGCGTCCCCGGCCTTTCTTTGTCGGCGAAGAATGCCCGACATTGTGCCCTACCATACTGTCGGCACGTTTGCAGTGGCCTCCTTCCGGTGTTTGTGCCGTCGGGGAGACAGGGCGCCCGGCCCCGCATGAAACCCTATCCCTGTGCCTGGTTCAAAGCTTCTGGACCGAATCCCTGCTAGACAGCCTTGTCGTGGAATTTCGTTCCGGTATGGCCAGTAGAGGCGAACGGTGCGCTAAGGTGTTGCATTAGAATTTCGACAATAAGGATATCCTTGTGTGTATCTGTGCTGTCGCCTTTCGGTACTCAGCTTCAGAACGGCACCAACAACATGCGGTCCGAACTGTTTCCACCCGTTGAGGAATAACGGGACGTCCCCAATATGAAGAGTCACAACACAATCACCTCAACATAACGATGCACCGGAAAATATTTGGGCACAAAAACTTTTTAATTTAACAGGTATAGGCGCACGGAGTCATTCCGACGCGGATGTACCCACCACTGGAGACGGACGAAACGAGGGCAGCCGCTTCACAGCTGTTAAATTACGTAGCTTCTCTTGAGGAACGTTAGCCGTTATACTCATGATTTAGAGGGAGGGAAGGTCACCCACTTGTCATGACTACCGTAAGATGCCCCGATGCACGCTTCGTAGTACAAACATTTCTTGGGGTAAGCTTGCGGTGAAAAAGCTTGCCGTGTAGTGGAGCGTGCGCGTTGTTGTTGTAGTGGTTATCGATAGTATCCTCGTCCGCTGAGGTCTGGACGTTTCGTAAGCCCCAAAACTATTTGGGGACGAAAGTGTTCGCAGAACACTAATCTCAACTACATCAATTCTTGCTCGTGTGGGGGGCAACTACTTGGAGCCTTCAAATACAAATAACTCTCGAGCAGCCAACTATTAGATAAAGTTGCACCATTAGACTAGTCAGCGCTGACTAGTCTCATGGTGCAACTTTATCTTACATAACATTTGGCGATGAAGGATTCACGCACGGGTTCAAAACCCGACTGGTCACTTTCCCAAACACCATTAAGTTCTTTTCAGGCAGCGTCTGGCGAGGGGTCCGTCCCCGGAGATCTCTACTCACGACCCCAAAAATGTAATCCGGTCGGCTGCAAATAAAATGAGCTCTGAGCATACCTTGTCTTTGATAAAGTTGCACCATTAGACCAGTCAGCGCTGACTAGTCTAATGGTGTAACTTTATCTTATACCAACCTCGCCCTCATTGTCGCTCCTTGTATTGTTGTGAACTGTGGTAGGCCGCCCTCGTGATAAATAACTAAAGCCAATGTTTACATAACCCCCGCGGCACGTGGCTGTGAGTTATTTATTGAACATACACCACATACAAATCTTGTATGAATGCATACATACTTAAGTATACACAGAAAGACTACCCGTTCGAAAATCACAGCGAACAAGGGATGGCTGTGGCGATGAATGAAGTTTTTTCAGTGAGTGGAGGAAACCGACAGGACTCGAGCATATTGTTCTTCCCATTTTCCCGGGACAACGAGAGGCATCATTTCTCATATCGATCTGTCAAAAGACTAGAAAGAGAACTTTCCTAAAAAGAAGGGAACTTGTTCTGCAGTGTAGCACATTAAGCCGGTTGAAAAGGTCCGTATCATCGCCTTTACGAAAGATCCGGCTACAGCACACCTTCTCCCGAACACCCATGCATCACACACATACACAGTGACCCCGGTTGGGTCGTCTAGCTGGTAGAAGTGGAGGATAGGGGCCAGAGGGGCCGACGACAGAGTCCAATAGTGGAAAACAACACACACACATACCCTCGCTCGTCTCACTCGCCGATCTTTCCCAAACCGAATCAAGACACAAGATGGTCACTGCCGGAATCGCTCTCGCCTCGGTGCTCTCTATGGCGAAAAGCACTGACTTCAAGGCGAGCGCTACTAGATTGTGTTGTCCGTTGCTGGCAGACTGATTCGTCATGTTCTGTATCTCGTCGCCGAGTCGCTATGCATTACACGGAATGCAGGTCTTTGCAAACTTCGTCAATGTATGAGGGTAAATACGACATGATGAGTTGAATCATTGCCGCACGTTCGCACGGCTGCTGCAACACTGTTACTGGTACCGATCGCCTTTACAACGGTATGCTCTGTGTTCAGTTCTCGGTCAGCGCCAAATGTTTGGCCTTCCCCCTTTTCCCGTTCTCCCGTGCTCCGGTGCATGTCTCCGTTTCACAGGTTCGTGTGAGGAACCTGACCTACTTGCAACCCTTCTCGCCCATGTTCGTCGTGGCGCACACCAACGTGAGTGCGCTACATTTTACCATGCTGCAAAAAGCCTGACGTCCGCTCTCCAGGTTTTTTCCCGATCCTTCATCCTGAACAGTTGTTGTTGTTGTTGTTTCTCACATTAGCTCTAAAAAAAAAAAAGATTGGGAGCCCGTGGTCTCAAAACCCGGCATACACGACCCCACGAAGAAACAGAAAAAAATAGGGTACAAAAACCACTCGGAAGAGAAACAAAATGATAGAAAGAAAGACCAGCTACCGCACCAAACGAGAAAGAGCGTCGAGGAGACCGATCAAAATAAAATAAAAGGAGAACGGGGAACGCTTCCCACACCCGCCTACAACGCCGGAGGGTTCCGTGCCGGGTTCCCGCCGACCAGGCATCCCCCGCCCTGCACCACACCCCAGGGGGTGCAGCAAGACGGGGGGCGAAAAACAAACGCATATATATTCCCACGAAAA